TTACACTGTGACATGTTACAACTATATAACTTGTGTTTTAATGGAATTCATAAGACATTTCATTGAGTCTCAGAAGCCTGATTGAACTTTGGAACAATTATGGGCATTTGTGGAAATGGATTAAGTGCATTTTGTATTTTTTTTATTAATCATTAAATTTGTTTTCATCTCAAATGATATCCCACTTTCCGGTTACCCATCCACCAACACCCCCTTCTCATTGTATTTTATAGTATCAGATAAAAATAAGACTTTAGGATGATAAAATCTTATTAAAGTAACGTATCAGGTTGTCAAGCTAAGGATTGGAGTTTTTGATGATTAATTTTCATTATCAATGTGGCAGGAATTCCTTTTTTAAAAGACTCATTAGTGCCAGGCAGTGGTGGAGCACGCCTTTAATCCCAGCACTTGGGAGGCAGAGGCAGGCGGATTTCTGAGTTCGAGGCCAGCCTGGTGTACAGAGTGAGTTCCAGGACAGCCAGGGATACACAGAGAAACCTGAAACCCTGTCTTGAAAAACTAAATAAATAAATAAATAAATAAATAAATAAATAAATAAATATTTATGTTTCATATGTTTTGTGTCCTCATTCCTGTATACTTACTGTTGGTTCTTGAGAGAAATGTAGTAAACATGGCAATGACTGTTTCAGGGGCCTTTATTTCAATTCCTTTGGATAAATACCATTTATCCTATCAGTAGGGAAGTTACTATAAAGGGCCTCCCCAGACTGCCCAGACATGAGGCTAGCAGGACATCAGTGAAGTACTAAACACTCCAGAGTGATCCATCCAAATGCACTTGTTAAGTGAACTTTCAGACAGGAAGGACTGCATTATATCCTTGAGGGAAGTACCAGGATGATCTACCTATTATATCTGCAATGGGTGTAGAGTATAGAGTTTCTATAATTTAAAAAATTAAGTTCGAGGCCAAGGCTAGTGTCAGTGTTTGGGGTAACAACCTAAACATCTCTATGAGTACCTGGGAATGGTCAAGGCCTGTTAGATTCTGACTTACCACCCTAGCTGTCTTGAGCAAAAGGTCTAGCAGTCAAACAGCCGTTAGACTACCCATATGGCAGCAGCAGGTTCCTCAGATGCCTTAAGAAATGTAAACTACTGGGAAAAAAGAAAAAGAAAAAAAGAGACCAAGAAACTATGGACCTGAAAGAGCAAAGAGGGATATTTGTAAGGGTCTGGAGAGAAGAAGGAGAAGGAAGAAATGATGTGATTATAATCTCGAAAAAAAATTTTTTTCAAAAGCATTCACAACGATTATAGGTGATTGCCTCTGCTCCCAAAAGCAAAGCATCAGCCAGGCTGCTTGAAACAATTTTCACAAGATCTTTTGCTATCACAAGCCTCAGTGACCTTTAGATGTCCATGCAACCTAGGCTAGAGAAGGAACACTTTCCCAATGATCTGACGAAAGACTACTGTGATAGATGCTAAAAAGGCAAGGCTCTGATTGGTCCAAACATAAACCCCGTTGGCTGTGAATTAGTACTAAAGACACAAGGCAGCAAATGAGGCCAACATAGCTTCCACGGCTGTGATTGCTCTAAACACACCTTTCTCTGACTGGATAAGCAGGTTGGATAGGCTCACTTAGCAGCATTGGGATCAAGAAAACGTTTCTCGCTAGGCTGGGCGTGCGTCGCCACGCCCCTCGAGAGAGGGCGAGACATGCAAATCAAACTGGGCCTGAGTGCGCGGGAACGCCGGGAGAGCCGGGGTCGTGGAAATTGTGCTGAAGCTGTGGGTCCTGGAGAGGGAGTGAGGTGTGGAGGACGCAGACGCGGACGGGAGGAGGAAGGAATCGCGGGAAAGGTAGGAAGTGCGGGTTTCGAGAGGTCACCACGATGTTAGTGTGTCTTGCGGGCGCAGGTTTGGGCTGTGTGGGAGAGGTTGGGTATCGCTTCTCGGCCTTTTGGCTAAGATCAAGTGTAGTATCTGTTCTTATCAGTTTAATATCTGATACGTCCTCTATCTGAGGACAATATATTAAATGGATTTTTGGAGTTAGGAGTTGGAATAGGAGCTTGCTCCGTCCACTCCACGCATCGATCTGGTATTGCAGTGCTTCCAGAAACGGTGCATCCCCACGGGGGGAATTAATGCTGGTTAAATATTAGACTAAACATGGTGTTTCTTGGGATGTCTCTTGTAGTTAAAAGTGAGGCCTATGGAAAAGTCTCAACACTCAATGTTGTTAAGGAATCCTGTTACCTAGGCCTGCCTGTAAACTATGCAGCCAAAGACTGAATAATTGCCACTTTCTACAACCCAGTAGCAAAAAACAACTTGATTGAAAAAGGCTATAACTGCATAGATAGATGTTCCCCCAAAAAAGGAATAAAAATTACTAAGTGAATATGAAAACACGCTCAGCATTGGAATGCTCAACATTGCATGGGAAAATTCAAACAGAACCATAAGATATACTTCATAGCTCCGAGGACGACCAGTATATGACATATATGATATACATGTGTGTATATGTAGGCGTGAGTGCATTTGTGTGTACAAGATCTCTAACACGAAGTCAAAGTCCCTGAGACCTGCTTGAGGCTGTTAACTCTCTATAGATGACTGAACCCCACTGTCTGCCACCATGTGCTGCTGCCAAGCATGGAGGAGACATAAGCTGCCAAGGACCACTAAGAGCTTCTTGAACTGGGAAGATGGCTCAATGGTCGAGAGAGCTTGCAGTTCCCAGAACCCATATAGGACAGCTCTCATCATGTGAAATTCCAGCTTCGGGAATCCCATGCCTCTCACTTCCAGGCACATCCCCTCAAGTATACACAACTACACACAGGCAGACACCCATAATTTAAATTGAATCTTTTTTTTTTTTTAAAGATCTCGTCTACTCAAAAAAAAAATCTTTTTGGGGGGTGGGAGGAGGGAGGATGTTTGTTTGAGATAGGGTTTCTCTGTGTAATCTGGGCTGACCTGGAACTCATTCTGTAGACCTGGCTGGCCTCAAACTCATAAAGATCCACCTGCCTCTGCCTCCTGAGTATTGGGATTAAAGGTGTGCACCACCACTGTCCAGCATCTACTCAAAATTTGTATCGAGTACAGCCAGAGGCCTATGACAGCTGCTTAGTAAAAATGAACGTAACACCTGTAATTTTCTTCCCTTTTCCACAGCAGCTAGTTGTGCTAATTTACACTGTAACATTACACAAGGGATCAAGGGCAGTAATGACCGGACATCGTCAGAAAATTTGTTTTATATACACATATACGTATATATTAATCATATATTCTATACTGGCTGCCCTAAACACTGTAAAGTAATATGCTATGGTTCTGTTTGCATTTTCCTGTGCAATGTCAAGCATTCCAGAGCTGAGCATGTTTTCATATACATTCAGTCATTAGTATTCCTTCTTTGAGAACTATCTACTCAGTCCTAGCCACTTTCAGTCAGGCTGTTTTCTGCTACTGAATTGTAGGAACTCTTTTTTTTTCTCTCTCTCTCTCTCCAATATTTATTTCTTTTTATGTGCATTGGTCTTTTGCTCACATGTATGTCTGTGTGACGGTGTCCTCTGGAACTGGAGTTACAGGCAGGTGTGAGCTGCCATGTGGGTGTTAGGAATTGAACCCGGATCCTGAAGAACAACCAGCGCTCCTCTGAGCCATCTCTCCAACCCCATAGAAGGTCTTTTTAAGAAAAGAATATTTTACCGGGCAGTGGTGGTGCACGCCTTTAATCCTAGCACTTGGGAGGCAAAGGCAGGCGGATTTCTGAGTTCGAGGCCAGCCTGGTCTACAGAGTGACTTCCAGGACAGCCGGGGCTATACAGAGAAACTCTGTCTCGAAACTCCCCAACCCCCCAAAAAGAATGTTTTGACAATTTTATACATGTATATAATGTATTTTGGGCATACTGACCCCACATTCTCTCTTATCCTTTTTGCTCTTGGATCCTTCTTCCCAACACCACCCTTGGGCAGGTGTCCTGGGCTGTATAAGAAAGCAGGCTGAGCAAGCCAGGAGGAGCAAACCCATAAACATCACCTCTCCATGGCTTCTGTTTCTGTTCCCGCCTTCAAGTCCTGACTTGACCTCTCTCAGCAGATTGTGGCTCAAGGCATGTAAGCCAAATAAACCCTTTCCTGCCCAAGCTGTTCTTGGTCAGTTTTTATCACAGCCATGGAAACCTAATATGGATGCTTAGCTTAGCCTTTTTTGCTATTTCCCTTTACCATTTTTCTACTTCTGTTTTGGAAAGGCCTTTACCAGAAGTTCATAAAAGTAACTTAATATTTTCTGTAGTACTTTGTGATTTTAATTTTACATGTAAACCTATTAAGTTTGCTATACCCCCCCCCCAAAAGCACATTCAGTTTTCTTTATTATCTCTTGACTAACTTAACCCTTGTTTTCACTAAAAGAAGTTTCCTTTTGGTTACAATTAACAAAACATCCAGGACTAATGAAGTGAGCATACAGTTCTCAGACAGATGACGTGCACGTGATCAACGAGCATATGCAAAAGTCTCCACACTGGTCGGAAGAGCGTGCGCTGCCGATTAACATCACACCGACAGTCCGGCTCACCAGGCAGAATAGCACTGATTTAAAGAAAAATCCTATTTGGGCTGTGAACAAAATGATGGTGCTGGGAATTTAGACTTGTCCAGGTAGGAATCAACCTATGTTTCATCAACAGAACAGATGATAGGAAACTGACACGGGCTGGAGAGACGCTTAATGGTTAAGAGTTATGGTTAATGGTTAACACACGGCTCTTGCAGAGGACCTCCGTTCCCGACATCCACATCAGGCCGCTCTCAAGCATCTCTAACTCCAGTTCCAAGGGATCCAACGCCCTCTTCTGGCCTACTACACTCTCACAAAGCACACAAACCAGCACGCACGCACACACACACACACCAATATTCTTTGGCACTAGAGTTACCAAATTCACATTTAAACTACTCTACAATTCACTTTGATTTAATTAATGGTGGTCTCAAGGACTGAAATCTATTAAAATAAACTTTCAAGCAGTTTAGACAGTAATGCATGTATTTATATATACACATATATATATACAATGTATAAATGAAATCTTACATAAGCATATGAATTCTCTCAACAGAAATAAATTATGAGCAATACAATAAAAATTAAGCTTAATTTAACATAGTGGTTTGTTTTTTTTAAATAACTAAAACAGATTTATACTTCAACAAATTTTGGTCATTTGAACACAAACTATTCTGATTGGTGCATTTTTTTTATACAGCAATTCAACACACCCTGAGTTTCCTTCCCAATTGATGGTTAAATGCTTATCACCCTATGGAAATAAAGATGTTTAAAATGAAGGGCGTTGCATCGTGGTGTCTAGTTCTCTGAAATCACTCTGAACAGTTCAGTTAGGATCTACTTTGATTTGGTCTATGTGACTCTGGTAAGGTAACAATTTGCTCCAACGAAGACAGCCAACGATGACGTGAAATCAGGACGTGCAATGCTCTGCCCAGCAGTCGCCACCTCTCTCTACAGCTTCTGTATCATCACCTGGAATTTGCCTGGAAAAGGAAACAGAGCCATTCTCTGATTTTCGGGCATAAGAAAAACAAGCACATTCATTTCCATTTGGGAAGTAGTTTCACTCAAAGAACTTGCTATGTCAGAGGTCTTTTCACAGTCCTTAAGATAGTCAATAAAATCTATCCCATTGCATAACTAATTATTTGTTTTATGAGGAGGTGTCTTTCCTACATCCTAGGTCTGTCTCTATATCTCTGTTTCCTTTCTCTCTCTTTCATCTCTATCTCATGTTTTGAGAAGGTCTCACTATGTAGCCCTGGCTTGGGGCTCAGTATGTTGACCAGATCAGGCAAGCTTAAAACTCATCGAGATTGGCCTGCTTCTGCTTCCTGAATCCTGGGATTGGAGGTGTGAGTCACCATGGTTGGTGATTCTGGGTATTTCATTACTAATTTGTCAGTGGGCAGAAAAGTAATACAGTGAAATTCAACTCAATTTTATTCTTGGTCAGTAGCTTGAGTATGAAGATAGATACATATTACCAAGATAAATGTGAGATAAAGGACAGTAAAGTCAAAGTGTCAACATTTTTAGTCTTCTCTAGGTTTAAAAGAGAAAGATGATATGTCTATATAAGATAAATAAGTTGAACTCACAGGCAGGCATTGAAGAGACTTCAGCTGTTACAATACTTTTTATTCCCAAGTTTGACAAGCCACCTCTGATTAAGCCACACGTAAATGCTAGATACTAAAAAGGAGGGAAAAAAAGTAACGATTTACTAAAACGATGAAGCTACTAACAAACACGGAGTTGCTTTAAGCTATGCCATCAACAACCCTCTGTTGTGTTTATCAAGGAGGACAGAAGAAGAGATTGCTGCCTTTAATCCCAGCACCCAGGAAGCAGAGGCAGGCAGATCTCTGTGAGCTGGAGGCTAGCCTGATCTACATAGTGAGTTCTAAGACAGCCAGAGCTACATAGTGAAACCCTGTCTCAAAAAACCAAAAGAGGGGAAAAAGGGTGTGAAAAGCCAATGGTGGCACACACCTGCACTAACAACTACTCAGCCTAAGGCAGGGGGAGCATTTCTTGAGGCAAGAACTGGAGGCCAACCTGAGCACCCACACCACACGATCTCCACTGAAAGAGAAAGGAACCGCATAGATATGGCGAAAGAACTGTGAAGAGTTAAATCCAAGTGTATCTCAAGCACACGGCATGCTGTGCGCAGGGATCTAACTAGACCCTCGCAGTACAACACTTAACCAGTTCTTCATCACTGCAGTGTCCTCCATTTCTTGCCTGTTTGGCCTTCCTATCAATGCGGTGAATTGAAGATCTCTGCGCTTCCTTTTTTTTCTCACCGTTTGGGACAGCGTCTCATGGAGGTAGTCAGGCCTCAAGCTCATTATGTCTTTGTGCTTCCGTTTCGCAAGTACTGGGATTGCAGGAACGTGCTACCACAGCCAGCTTCCTACAACCACACATGGTGGCAAGAGTTCCATTTCTTTAAAAACCCAGTTATGTTACATCAATATGTTTTTGTTTTAATCCCAAGTACGGAATGAGAGACTGCTTCACAGCAGGTGATTACAATTTGCCTCGTTCACGAGCAGGGTCATGGTTTGGCCAGCAGCAGATAGTTTACTTTTGGGATTCTGAGAACTTTTGGGAGGCTATAAATGAGAGAGCCCACGGTGCCCACCCTTAGTGGGGTGGGCGTTCCAGGAAGGCTGGTGCTGCTCTACTTGCTCTTGTTTGTTTGTCAGGTGAGCAAAGAGAAGTTGGAGCTATCCTGATGATGAAGACTGGACTTCCCCCAAGGAACTCAACGTCCCTACTTAGCAAGAAGCAATCTAAAGAGGTCTACGACCCTTTCCCCTCTAACCTTTCTCTCCTGCCTAGTGCTGGGAGGGGGAAGGGATTAGGGTGGAATAAGCATTTGAAGGGATGTAGAAGTAGAAGAATCCAATAAAATAACGGAAAAAATTATGCCAGCAAAACATTTCCTCTTGTTTAAAATGTTCAGCCTAAGCAAGGCATTGGCAGCACACGCACTGGTCTACAGGGTGAGTGCCAGGTCAGCCAGGGGCTACACAGAGAAACCCTGTCTCAAATGAACAAAACTTCCCTCTAATTCTAGCCTGGGGCGGCTCAGGCAAGAGGGTTACTACAAGCAGGAGACCAGCCTGGGGGATATGGTAAGTGCTCTTAACACGGGACCACCAAGCCAGTCCCCCAGGAAAAAATTAACTTATTCTTCAAAGCTGAAGAAACTAAGATATCCCAAAGTTAAATGAGAACTAAAAATAGTAAAATGTGATTAATAAAAATAACGAAATACATATATCAACCATAAAAACATCATACCTATACTCTATCTGCAAACAATTTCTGATACAGGAAGGAAATAAAAACCAGAGGGCAGTGTAACCCATGAGACATGCAGGCAGAAGGCAGGCTATTTTTATTAGAGAGTAGGGTCAGCACCAGGGAAGCAGACGAGGCAGTAGGCAAGAGGAAGCAATAAGAACAAAGTGTACATAACAGAGGAATCATGAAACCGGTTTTGTATGGTAATTTTAAAAATTAATAAAAACTTAAGGTATGAGCGAGTATTTACAGATAAATAGCAAATTATACTTCCCTAGATATTTTAATTGTTTTGAAGGAACCCATATATAAAAATTTGTTATTCTGCCAGACATGGTTGACATTGGCCTTTAGTTCTAGCACCCAGGAGGCAGAGGCAGAGGATCTCTTTTGAGTTTCAGGCCAGCTTGGTCTACACAGCAAGTTTCAGACTAGGTAGGCTACATACTAAGATCCTGCCTCTCCTCCAAAAAACGAAAAAAACGAAACAAAGTGAAAAAAATCCTGAAATTTGTTACTTTTCTTTAGTCCGTTTATTCATTGATGCCTCTGTGAGATTAAAGCCTAAAAATACAGACATACTTAATGTAAAATAAACTTGTAGAAACAAAAGACAATTATATTTCTTAAACATTTTAGCCTACCAAAGAAGACGATAAACTCTGAGGTAACTAATTCTGCACAGGTAGTGTCTGCATGTGTGAGTATCTTTACTGAGGTAACCACATCATATTAAAGAACGAGTAACAAGTCGACATTTCCTGGCACTCAGAAGTAGTGTTTCTCTTATTGTTCTCTACTGCCTCACTCAAACACAGGAGCTGATGGTCAACATGGTTTCTGTTGCAGAGAAAATGGCTTAAACAACATGGTATAAGTAGAACTACTTTTTATTGAAGGAGTTTATTAAAAGACAGTTTTAACTTTGATTTTTTTTTTCTTTTGGTTTTTCGAGACAGGGTTTCTCTGTGTAGCCCTGGCTGTCCTGGAACTCACTCTGTAGACCAGGCTAGCCTCAAACTCAGAAATCTGCCTGCCTCTGCCTCCCAAGTGCTGGGATTAAAGGCGTGCACCACCACCACCCGGCTTAACTTTGATTTTTAACATATGAGTTAAGAAAAAAAAGAGGGACTGGAGAGTTGGCTCCAGGGTTCAGTGCACTTACCACTCTCCGGATTCCCGGCACCCACAGGAAGACTCACCCCCTCCTCAGGCCTCAGGCACACACACACACGGTGCACAATAGCCAAGGAGGCAAACACACTTGTACACATAGCAAAATAAAATAAGCCAGGAACAAATGATCAGCTTTAAAAAAAGGTTACTGAACAACATGTACTTGGGGCTGGAGAGATAGCTCACTGACTGCTCTTCCAGAGGTCATGAGTTCAATTCCCAGCAACCACATGGTGGCTCACAACCATCTGTAATGGGATCCAATGCCCTCTTCCTGGTGTGGCTGAAGACAGCTACAAGATACTCAGATTCATAAAATAAATAAATAAACTTCCCTTTCCTTGAAGAAAAAAAAAAAAGAACATATACTTAAGAACTCAGGTTTCTCAATGAATTGCTAAGGTTACTATGTTTAATTTGAATCTGTTGTGGTCAATTTTGTAATTTTCCCTGTAATTCCTTTTTTCAGTATAAAACCAAATTCCATTAAATACCTTGGATGCATGTTCTAAATACTGTTTTCCTGCAGACAGCTGTATAAGTAGTCGAAATTTGTTGTCCTGAAGCACATATATGCCCTGTTTCAAAAATACAAAAGTAGTATCAAAGTCAGTGTAGCCTGGAGTCCTTAAAAATTACCTCACCCTAGGCAAGGGAGGTTTCCCATGTTTGTGATTCCAGCACAGAGTTAACTGTGAGACACAGATTGAGTCTCTGGTTAGATAGGTAGGTAAGTAGGTTAATCAATCAATCGATCCATCGATAGATAGAATATAAACCAACCACTGCATACCCAAGCAAGTCCTTTTTAAAGATTCATCTTTAAAAAAGAAAAAGAATTATTTATTTTATGTATATGAGTACACTGTTGCTGTCCTCAGATACACCAGAAGAGGGCATCGGATCCCATTACAGATGGTTGTGAACCACCATGTGATTGCTGGGAATTGAACTCAGGACCTCTGGGAGAGCAGTCAGTGCTCTTAACCACTGAGTCATCTCTCCAGCCAGGATTCACCTTTTCTGAATTGTTTGTGTGTCTTTATGTCTGTGTGGGAGTGTGGGAGTCAGTGCAGCTGCTTACGGAGAGGAGAAAAAATGGAGGCTCCCCTGGAGCTGGAGTCACAGACAGCTGGGAACACCTCACATGGATACTGGGAACGGAACTTAGGTCCTGTTAAAGCACAATGGAACTCCTAACCACTGAGCCATCTCTCCAGTCACACCAAAGCATGTTAGTTAAGAGTTAGATATGTTCTATGAATTAGACTTCAGAAATTATTCTATAGCTATAAATGTAAAATAACTGTGGTTCTGAATACAACCATACTTCCAAATGATAAGAGTCAACCTTAAACCAACTACTCTGACATATGCTACATTCTAAAGATTTTTACCCCCAGTTCTGAGTTTTATTGGAAAATATGCCTTAAAAAAGACTCATCATTTCTGGCCAATGGAATAAAAAACTGTGTACAGGGACTCTTCAGTAATGCTAAGAGGACCCTGTTTTATGGAATAAAGAACTGTGTACAGGGACCCTTCAGTAATGCTAAGAGGACCTGTCTTGTCCGTCTCTAATCATAGACCCAGGAATGACACAAACATGTAGTCAGTGATGTTATTCAGGCTTAAACCACAGACTGATCTCTTTCTCAACACTTTTTATTTTTTTTATTTTTTATTTTTTTTAAAGATGTATTTATTTATTTTATGTATTCACTATTGCTCTCTTCAGACACACCAGAAGAGGGCATCAGATCCCATTAAAGATGGTTGTGAGCCACCATGTGGTTGCTGGGACTTGAACTCAGGACCTCTGGGAGAGCAGTCAGTGCTCTTAAACCGCTGAGCCATCTCTCCAGCCCAACACTTTTTATTTAATGCCTGCCATGAATGACATTCCTGCTAAGTAGAATGCAGAAAATCCCTCAACTGGTACCTGTCTATAAGAACATCACCACCAGTGAGGTGTCTCTTTGCCCATTGCCAGTTATATTTTATTTTTAAAGATTTACTTATTTTTATTTATATTAGTATACTGTAGCTGTCTTCAGATACATAAAAAAAAAGGGCATCAGATCCCATTACAGATGGTTGTTAACCACCATGTAGTTGCTGGGAATTGAACTCACGACCTCTCTGAAAAGCAGTCAGTGCTCTTAATTGCTGAGCCATCTCTCCATCCCTGAGTCATTTTATTTTTAATTATGTGTTTATATGTATATGTGTACGCATACACACAAATTCCCAAAGAAGCCAGACACACTGAATCCTGAAGCTGTAATTTCTGGAGGCTCTAAGATACTCGTTGAGGGTGATGGGCACAAAACTCAAGTCCTCTGCAAGAGCAATACATGCACTTAACCACTGAGCCATCTTTCCAGCCCCCATTTGCTACACTTTAAATTTTAACATAATTTATGAAACTAGAGGAAAGAAACAGCTATAGTTACTGATAAGTGCTTCCTTCTCCTTACTTATTTTACCCTACCAGAGATAAAGACTGACTTCTCAATAACATTAGAAAAACATAAAGTCTATTTAAAAAAAAAAAATTCTAGCCGGACGGTAGTGGTGCACGCCTTTAATCCCAGCACTCGGGAGGCAGAGATAGGCGGATTTCTGAGTTCGAGGCCAGCCTGGTCTACAGAGTGAGTTCCAGGACAGCCAGGGCTATACTAAGAAACCCTGTCTTGAAAAACAAAAACAAAAAAATTCTAGTGAGTTGATTGGGTTGGTAAGAAACTCAGCTACTAAGATTACTGGCTGCCCTTGCAAAAGGGCCAGGTTCAGTACCCAACACACACACTGAAGCTCACGGGCTCTGACCTTTTTCTGGCCACTGAATGCACAAAGTGCTTTTATGTATCCAGGCATATACATAAAAATAAATCCTCAAAATAATCTAATTTAAATAACAAATTAAGGGCCAAAAAAGCTAGCTCAGCATGTAAAAGCACTGTGTACAAGTCCCACAATCTCAACTGGATCCCTGGAACCTACAGTAGACAGACAACTCCTAAAAGCTGTCCTCTACCCTCACTGGGCCAGCAAGCACCTGCATTCACACATCACACACAATGATAGCTAAGTCAGTAACTGACACAAGGACATTCACATTTAGTGACTTTTCAAAAATAGGTCTTAGAAACAACAGCACAAAGGTTTATCTCAATACCTGGTGATTTGTCCTTAGATTGTCAATTTGTTTCTTGAATACTGTAGTCCAAAAATCTTTACATATGAACTTCATGATGTCTAATTCATCCTTGAACCTTGCAGTATCTTTCGTAAACCTAAGAAGATCAACTAGAAGTAATACAATATATTTCTCCCAAAGAAAACAAAGGAGGAAAACTTTTTCTTACTCTTCCAAGAGGAGCAAATTATTAACTAATTTCTAAATACTACTAGCACTAAACATTTATTTACAGTCACACAGTGATAAACACCAAGCGAAGACAACTTCATCTCAGTGCATTTGCAGCCGTTACATAATTATGGAGCTCAAGAGCCTATTAGTAATCAGCCAGCCATACTTCCAGCTACACTTCAAACTATGAAATGAGCAGCAAGAGACCTGGGTGAGCATGGCGGTCTGGGCCTAGAATCCAAACTCTCTGGAGGCTGAACAAGCTCTTCACAGGTTAAAAGCCAACTTGGGCTACATGAGTTCCAGGGTAGGCTGGGCTACAGTATGAGACTCTAGCTCAAACAAACAAACAAACAAACCTGATTGGATTATGTAAAATTTATCTAATATAAATTCAACTATTTATATATTCAGAAAAGAATAAAAAAGTGATCCAGCCAGGTGAGGTGACGGTGGTGTGCCTTTGCTATCAGCACTCAAGAGGCAGAGGCAGAAGGATTTTTATGTCAAGGGCAGCCTGGTCTACAGAGTGAGTTCCAGGACAGCCAGGGCTACACAGAGAAACCCTGTCTAGAAAAACAAACAAACAAACAAACAAACAAACAAAAAATGAACCATAAACACACATTTCTTTGCCTATGCAGTTAAACAACATTCCATTTAGAATTTAAAAATCTACTAAGCCATAAGAAAATGCTATGAGATTGCAAAGAGTTATCTCAATATATTAATATTTTCATTACAAAATTACACATGTAAAATAGGTCTTCCTCAATTGCTAAAACATAACATTTGAAGCTGGGCACAGTAGAGAATAGTTGTTATAACCCCAGTCCACGGGACCGACAGGAAAAGTAGTCAAGTCTGCAGCCAATCTTGGTTACACAGCAAGGCCATGTCCATAAACAAAAATAATAAATCCAGAATAACAATTTAACTAAGACCAGGTCTAAAGAGAAATTTATTTTCTGTAATGGAATGCAGGGCCTTGTGCATGCAAAACACATGATCTACTACTGATATACCAGCAGTCTCTTAATAATAATTTTCAACCTATCAACTATAAAAATTAAAATTAAAAACTGGAAATTAAAATAAGTTCTCTGCAATGATCTGAAATGGCTCTTCTGTGTTCATAACCTACCTGGAAGGAAAGTTTCAAATCCACACTGCTCACCTTTCTATCAATCCTTGTCCCACTCGAAACCCCATGTTCTCCAGCTTAGTAATGCACCGGCCATTTTCCTAGTAGAACAAAACAGCAGTTTTGAATATCTTAGATTCTAATCCATCTGCATTTTAAAACAGTGATATAGAAATCAGAGGACAGGAAGATGGCTCAGCAAGCACAGGTGACTGCCACCAGCCCTGACCACTTCCTGTGTGGGGCAGTGCAGTGGGCAAGCCATGGCACACAGGTGGAAGGCAGGGGACAATCTCTGAGCATCAGTTCTCTCTTCCCATCACAAGAGTCCCAGGAATTCAACACTTCCTTTGTATGGAAGCAACTCAGCAGCCCTAACCGTGTCTTGAGTGTCCTGAGCGGTGTGTGCTGTGCGTGCTCATGATGCACACGTGGGAGTCAGAGGACAGACTGTCTCACGTGGTCTGCTCCTTCCACCACGCAGGTCCCAGGAATCCAACTCAGGTTCTTGGGTTTGGCAGAAAGCACCTTTAACAGTAGAGTCTTCTGCTAGCATATATAATGACAATTTTGAAATGCTAAAATATACATTCAAGATGACACTCACACATGCACACATACATGCATGTTTGAATGAAGGTACACCACTTTAGGGATAATGCTTCCCACAGAAACACAGACTATCTAACAAAAACATCAGTGCCAGGTGTAGGAAACATCTCTCTACTGTTGCTAAGGGGAGTTCAACTGACTGTGGCTGGAGAGATCATGAATCCTAGAGGAGAATCTACTACTGCCACCTCCCTAAACCAGCATAATTTCTAACGGCATCCTAAATACTTACCCCTCTATCCACAGAGAAGTGTTTTTTCTGAAACAGAGACCATTACAGAAACCCATACAGGTAAAATACAGAAAACAACCGACTGTGAGATGCCCACTGCCAATTGATACATCCACACTACAACCCCTACATAAGGCTCAGGGAATATATCAGAATGGGGGAGGGGAGAAAAATGGTAAGAGCCAGAGGACCAGAATGACTGTGTCTCCTGCAGACGACAGGGAAGCTACACTCACAAACTCTCAACAGTATAATCACCTAAACAAGACCTACACAATGACAACACCAGTTGACATGGCAACAAAGATAAGGGGCATCTCTGGAGGCCCCTCCACTAAATGAAGAGAGCTAAGAGCAGTTAATGACTGCAGAGAGGGAGAATCAATCAGTCTTCTTCAGGGAGGAGTCTGCATAGACTACTGAATCCCAAGTGGTTAGCCCTAAACACATACACATACAAACAACACTAAAAGGACTCAGTAGGCTATATTTAGTACCTGTGTGTGTGTGTGTCTCTGTGTGTGTCTGTGTGTGTGTTGACAATAATAATGAAGAATAGGTCATGAATTTGAAAGAGAGTGGGGACATGGGATAAGTTGGAGACAGGAAAGGAGGATGGAAATGACTGAATACAGTACTAATGCATGAAATTCTCAAAAAATAAAAATTTAAGTTAAAAGAACAAAAGGAAAAAAGAAGGCACTAGATAGTGTAAGGACCCACGGAGAGGACCCCCAACTCAAGTCCCGATCAGCGCACACCCAAGGAGACACGAGAGACTGACTCGATGCAAATGGCATAAGGCAGTTTACTAACAAGGGCCCTTAGATCGAAACTCATCCCACGCAGGGGAGAGAATTTCGATGAAGACCCCAGGAAATTTAGAACTTTTATAGGGGGAGACCCAAGGGGGAAGGGAAAAGTGGGAAATTCTGGCACAGTTACATATGATTGGATATTTCAAACATCAGCACTTTGCGTAAGCAATCATTTTGACAGGCTGGATGGCCCACTATTTTTGACCATGAAACCTCAGACCTAGGATAAAGACCAGGTGGCCCATTACTCACTTGGGCATGTTTAGACTGGTCAAGATAGGTCTTTGGTTGTTTCTACATTTCTGGTCACCTTGTCCCTAGAGGGGCTTGATATTTTTATTATGGCTATTCTCAGCAAGCTCAGCAAGCCGTCCTACGGTCTTTGCCAAGTTGTTTTTAATTTTTACTCTTACAACAGAAGTACCTCCCATGCTCATGGATTAGAATATATTCTACTAAAGCCACTATCCAATCCCTACCAAAACTGTAGTAACATCGTCACAGAACTAGGCAAAGCAAACCTAAGACTTGCACAAGATCAGGAATGAAAATGAAAAAGAAAGAAAGAAAAGCGAAGGGAAGGACTGTTCTAGGTATTGTGGCTTACTGTGGGTGAGGGAGAGCATAGCCTGAGGCAGGGACACCTGGGAGAGGGCAGAGGGAACCGGACCCTGAGCTGGGGCCCTGTGAGGAGAAGGGAAGGGAAGAGGGGAGAGCCATACCAAGAGGCCCAGATGTAAAGGTAAAGGTAAAGGGTGGACCCAAAAGGGTCAGGAAATCACAATGATTGGTTTATACACGAAAGAGCCTCTGGAGGAAAGGCAGCCCAGACCCTGGGTTGCAGTTTAGGGTAGGGGACTGGGTATGCCAGCCATCCCTGAAACATGTAGGGATGGCAGGGATGCATAATGTAAAAATCTGAAACTCTGAAATTACTAAAGTAAAACACTCTAAGATATAATCAGAGACAAGAACTTTTGGAAAAGAATTCCAGAAGCACAGGAACTAATCTTAAGAACTGACAAGTGAGATCATATGAAATAAAGGGTTTCTGCATAACAATCAGCAGTGAAGAGACTCTGCAGGGTGACGGACTAGAAGAAGAAAATCTCTGCTAAGCATGCATCAGACATGGGATTCCTGAGAAAACATATAGGCTCGGACCTCAGAACCAAGCTCTCAGCACAAAGTAGCCTTATTTGCTGAAGAGGGACAGAGGACAGGATAAGGGACAAAGACAAGAGACAGAGGAATCGGGAGAGGGAAAGGGAACAAAGGAGAGGAGAGGAAGGGGGCAAGGGAGAGGGGGCAAGGGTATGTGTCCCAAAGGGGAATGGAGCAAAGGACCATCTCTGCATAGAGGAGACAGACAGCACACAGAAAAGTGGTGGTTTATAAAGACACAAGGGGAAACCCCATTTTAGGATGAGGTGTTTAATTTTGATTTGACATGTTAATTAGGTGGGCTACAGGGGGATTTTGATTTCTGGACTTCATTCCGTGATAGCTGGACATTAGTAGTCAGCCTCAGGAAAGAGATTGGCCAAATAAGGGAATAGGCCTTGGGGGCTAGCTTCAGGAATGTAATCAACAGTTTTCAGCAAGGCAGAGGGAACTGGGGAGAAGTGTTAGGCCTGCCGGAGTCATGCTTGGCACACCCAAGCTGGCTAGAGTGCCTTCAATTGTTACCTTGAGTCTATAAAGACCTCAAAAAAATTTCTCTTAAATTAAGCCCTAGGAGAAAACCTACTACTGTTGCTCTGCTAAATGGGCATAGCATTAAACCAATTCCTAATGAGTTGTTTTTATATCCATAAATTAAGGCCTCTCCCAAACCCTCACCAGAGAGGTTCCTGTTTGTAGAGATGGTAACACAGAGACTCACTCTGGTCACCAGGAGGATACTAAGAGACTGCAAAATACTCAGCACTACACAGGACGTCTATATCAGATACCATGCGCACGCACACACGCACACACCCCGTTTAAGAGTGAGGAGTCATTGCAGAAGAGGAAGCAGAAAGATTGTAAGAAATGTCATATCCAACTTCTCCACCCAGTATGAGTCTCCATACAGTAAGACTGTACAGAGGGACGAACCAGAGAGACACAC